TAGGGTGGGTCAAAAAAATCGATTTTTTTTTTTTTAACTTCTAATATTGAAAAGTTGGTTCTCAGGCACCTCTAGAATATGCTCACCAAATTTGAGCTCTTAATATTGATAGGAAGATTATCCTCATCACAGTTTTACATTTTTTGTTAGTCTCTTATAAAAAAGATCTTATCTCACTATTGATTAATTTTTTCATCAAATTTTTATACACATTTTTGTAGGAAATTGAATGATCTACAAAAAAGATCTGATATGTGTAAGTCATTACATTAACCACTTCAAAGATATCCGAGATCAAAGTTCAAAAAATTTATCAAAAAAAAATTTTTTTTTTAAATTTCCTACTACATTAAATTTCTTAAACTTTGATCTCGGATATCACTGAAATGGTTAATGTAATCACTTACAGATATCAGATCTTTCAATTTCCATAATAGATCATTCAATTTCCTACAAAAATATGTATAAAAATTTGATGAAAGAATTGATCAATAGTGAGATATGATATTTTTTATAAGAGACTAACAAAAAATGTAAAACTGTGATGAGGATAATCTTCCTATCAATATTAAGAGCTCAAATTTGGTGAGCATATTCTAGAGGTGCCTGAGAACCAACTTTTCAATGTGAGAAGTTAAAAAAAAAATAATCGATTTTTTTGACCCACCCTATTATATATAGGTGTGCAAAGATTTCATGAATTTAAATGGAAGAAAACTACTGGCAAACTAACGAAACCGCACATATTGTGCTTCACTTTGAAGTCTGACATAAATATAAATAATCTATCTTTGAAAATCGTATAGAAAATTTTTTAAAGGTTTTGAACTCCAAAAAGTAGCACTGTTTAAAAATATTGATTGAAAAGAATTTAAAATGATGAAATTTGAATTCTTTTCAATAATTTCAATTCTTTTGTTTGTATGTATAGATATACAGTTTGCATGGAGTGACCGCTTTTCAATTCTTTTCAATCAATATTTTTAACCAGGGAGTAATCGTTGTGAAATTACTGATTTAAAAAATTTTTGCTGCCATAAAATTTCAAAAAATACAATAACAAACAAATTGTTTATTCAATTTTTCAACTTGGATTTCATAAATTAGTTATTATTGAAAAAAAAATAGATTTTTTCATTAATTTTAAGGTTTAAGTGGCTTTAACACCTAAGCTATGAGAGCTACGAAAAAATATCTCAGTACAAAATTGTAGGGCATAAACCCCCTCCCCCCCCCAAATTTGTCATTTACATTTTTTTTCTATATTCAATAGCTTAGAAAATAAACGCGATTTACTGCTATATTTATAAAAATTCAGCTTAAATGACATTTTTCGTCGAACCCGTTGGAGTTACGAATTCGACATAATGGGCTTTTTTGTAGGATATTATATATCTATAACAAGAATCCATGAATCAAAATTCTAAAGAAAATTTTTTTTCTGGGTGAGCGGAAGGAAAAACGCTTGAAAAAGAATTTTTTAATGTTATTTTCATGGATAAAATTACAAATTCTCTAGCAGTGGGTTAAAATTCGAACTAAGGGCTCGCAATATGCTCAAAAATTTTGTTTTTCAATAAATTACAAGATTTTCAAAAAAATAAACAGTCTAATTGACTTTTGAAAGAAAAAAATAGTTAAGTGATTTCTTAGAGCATTTTCTGACTTTTTTTTTTTTTAATTATTGGCACGCATTTTTCGTGTCATATGCGCGATCAGTCTTGAAAAATCTAATAATATGATTGCTTAATCTAATTTTTACTGGATTAAATGGTGCCATAGTTTTTACGTGAAAGAAATGAGAAAAGTTGTTTTGCTTTTGTATATGAATGTTATAGTGAATTTTTATAAATATTAACGTATAAGCGTAATATGAATGTGATAAAGGCATTTGAAAGCCATCACAAAATTTCTTGACTTTGACATGCCGAGAGTCAAGCACTACCTCAATCGCTTAGCGTTATCAGGCGTGCAGAAATATAAGTTCATCAAATATCAATGTAAGTTATAAAAATTTACAATTTTCTTAATAGAAAAATAAAAAATTTGACTCTTTTACTTACAAATTTTCGCAATCGATTTCATCATTGGAATAACTAAAAAATATATTTACAGAAAAAGGAGAAGATGCAAGAGAGGTAGTTTGTCGTTTCGAAGTCATTTCTTCAACTTTAGGCAAGATTAACATTTTCCAAATTTCTTTGACACTATATTTATTAATATTAGGACCATTCCAATGGCTTTCTTTCGTTTTCTGATTAAGAAACGTCGAAATCGATTTTTCTCTTAACTTTACAGAAATGGGTATATTTAACGTGCATGTGAATACTTCAGAGTCGAACCCACTTAGTTTTATTTCTCGTGAAATCTACAAGAGAAAAAAAAAACAATATAGTAATTTTTAGATGCATTTCAGAAATAAGTTAAGCTTTAAAAAGCTCTACAATAGTATATTGTGTGACTAGGGATGAAACAAAACGATTTTAGACCAGAGTGAAGTTGCCTGCCAGAGCGAAGCGAGGGCTGGCATCACTCGGTCTGAAATCGTGTTTCATCCCGCGTCACAGATATTTTTCATATAAGTTGCATTAAAAATGCTAGTTTCAATGTCTGGAGCCAACCAGAACTGGATAGTTTCAGACGAATAGCGAAATAAATTCAAGAAAGTAATGGTTTATTTTTTATTAAACATCATTCGTAAATTGAATAGTTTTCTTTTGTCATTCTTAATTATGCTTAATAACAGAATTATAATATGTCAGTGTAGTTAACGGTTAGAATGACAATTATAGAGGTATAAAATAAACGATTGATAGGATTGAAAATAAAGCTGCAACTTCATCTCGCGGGCAGAAAATCGTCATTTTCTGTCCACCAGGAAGAAAATGATTGATTCCTGCCCGGCAACAGTCGCATTGATCTGAAATTGACTAGTTTCGGTTGGCTCAACAGGCACTGAAACTCGCATTTTCAATGCAGGTTATATGAAAAATTTTTTTAACTTCCCGCTAGGAAAATTGAAAATTTTCAAAAATTGGGAAGCTATAGGTTTTACCCTGTTTTTCGATAATGGAGTTTTCATGAGATCTCGACGTTTCGAGGTCCTAGCAAGCTTCCCTGACTATCCCCGCGAGGGTACCACTATGTCTGTGTGTGTGTTTTTTTTTTCTAAAACTCGACGCTGACGCCCCTACTCACTAAACCCTAAACCCCTTTCTCTTCTATCCTCTGATCCCCATAGTACCGCCGAAAGGCATTTCTTCGCGGGAGGAGGAATTAGCTGCCGCTCTTCCTTCTGGTGGCTAAGATGTTATTTCTTCCTTCTAGATTCTGTCTTTCGCTCTTTTCCTCTCAATGGATCGCAACTCTGTAAGCACTTTTAAGGGCGGGGTATGGGTTTTCACTTCCGAGAAATCGAATTTTTTTTTTGTTTTATCTTATTGTTTAACATTTCAAGAATATGTCCTTAAAATTTGAAACCGATCCAAGCAGTATTCTTGAAGTTATAACTCTAGCAGCTAAGGGCGGTCGGGATAGTAGTGCAGCTGTCGAACAGGTATACAGTTTATTCATTGCTATTGTCCTAACCCATTATCCAGTTTCAGAAACATTTTATTTAATAAAGACAGGTAACTAAAGCCATAAAGATATATTTTAGATTTGTATACACACTATAGACTACAATATTTTAAAACCAGAAACGAGCGTCAATTTATCGTTTGACGTTCGACCGTGCGCTTGTCATTTTATAATTTTCTCCAAAAATTTCCTGTACAAAAATGCCGAGAGTAAGCAAAGTTCCGAGAGAAGATCGACAAAATGGAAGGACTTATTTGTGTAGATAAAAAAAAAAAAGATTTAATCCGAATAAAATAATTAAAGATTAGGCTTCTACAAAAAGTGCTTTATCTAAAAAAATCAAGCTAAATTATACCAGTGCAAGTGTACCAGAAGACGTTGAAAAACAATACAGAATCATCGATTTTTCGCTTGTTTTCTCAACCATCGCAAGTTTAGTGAAATGTGCTCAGTGTGATAGTTTAGTTGAGTTCAAAATTTGCAAAAAATTAAATAATGCTGTGAAGCGGGAAAGAATCGGAGTTACGGTAATTTTTACGTGAAGCATTCCACATTCACGTAACAGGATAATTGGTAAGAAGGGATTGAGAAAGAAATTGGAAAGGACCTTTTCTAATGAGAGTTTATAGAATATGCGAGAAATAATTCGGATAGCTCGGACTGAGATTCGAACCTAGAATGCATTCGCGGACAGCAATCGCATTGACAGGACTGAGATTCAAGCTGAGCAGCAAAGCAAAAAAGCCATAATAAAACAAAGACTTGAGAGAAAAGAGGCTGAAGATATCGACAATGCCGCAGAAAGTCTGCTGTATGGAGCTGGAATCGATGATTCTGTGTAAGTTGGAAAAAAAAATTTTTTTCTTTACTCTTTATGTTCATAAACTTTAGACGCGTTTTTCTCAAAACTACTTTTTCAAAGTCCGTGTTCACTGCCATTTGAAAACTACTCGACCGATTCATTTCGAATTTTGTACACATTTTCTTCATATAAAATACCTCCCCCCTACGTTTAGTAAAAATTTTTTTTTTAACATTAAGGGTGTTTCCCACCCACAAAATGGCGGAAATTTTAGTCGAAAATAACGGTTCACACTTTAGATGGCTGCCAAAAATTTTTAAATTAAAAAAAAAATAATCAGAGAACGTTGGGGGGAAGATTTGTTTATAATTTGACTAAATTTTTATCGTTTTTCGTTTTCAGATAATTTCCAGCCGAGTTACAGTGAACACCGCAAATTGTTTTTTTTTCAAGACGTCCTGGGGGAAGCTCTGTCACGGGCTAATGGTTTAATATTTTTGCATGAAAAATTTATAGAACATAGTCAAAACTATGCTCAATAATGTATAGAAGGTTTGAATAAAATTGCTCAATCGATATTTGAGATAAAAAATCACAAAAAAAAAGTGTTTTTTTTTACGCTGAAACCCAGACCCCTCCCTTAAGGCAAAAGTGCTTGTGGCGTTCCAGACAGCTTCTGACGACAACATTGCTTCTACTATTGACTCTGGTTAGGTTCTCTTTTTCAGAATCTTCTCTAACTCATCGCGCTGTTGGTTGAAACGTGGACGCACAAAGAAAACATGCTCCGCATCTTCATTGATCCCTGGACAGGACGGGCACTCTGGGGTATCATCGTGCTTAAAGCGCTGAAGATACTTCCGGTAACATCCGTGTCCTGATAACATCTGCGTTAAATAATAGTTGATCTCACCGTGACTCCGGTTGAACCATTCCGGTTGCAGCATTCCACTCCTGTTGCCATCTTGCTGTGTTGCCGTTCTTCTCTTCTAAGTTCTTCAGGGCTCAGTGTGGTTGACCTTTTTCGTTGATATAGGTTCCGTCTTTCCTCAGCTAGGACGCTGAGAGGCAGAGTACCTGAAATAACACACACTGCTTCCTCTGATATTGTGCGGAAGGCGCTAGCTACTCATAGGGCACTCAGTCGATATACTGGTCCAGCCTTTCTCCATGATTCTTGCGTCTTTAGTGCGTTGGCCCAAATGGATATTCCGTAAGTGAGGACCGATGTGTCTACTGATGACAATAGTAGCCTCCTGCTCTGCTTTGGGCCTCCGACGTTCGGCATCAGTCGTACGAGACTAGCCCTCACTACTAACGCTTTGGCACTGACATGTTCTACTTGCTGCTTGAAGTTGAGTCAGGCACCAAGCATCACTCCCAAATATCGGATATAAGGTTGTAATGTGATTTCTTGTTCGCCGACTTTCAGTTTAATCGTCTCTACCACTTTTCTGCTGGTAATAACCACTGCCTCAGTCTTGTGTTGCGCCAGTTGTAGGTTCACTGCGTCCATCCACCGGTTAACGCGCTCAAAAGTGAGATTGAACATATGGTTTATCTCGTCAAGGTGTTTGGCAACGATCACTACGGGTACGTCATCTGCATATGCTACGAGTTTGACGTTTCTTGGCAGAGTTAGTCTTAATAGACCGTCATACATAATATTCCACAGGAGCGGGCCTAGAACTGAACCTTGTGGTACACCTCCAGTAATATCATACTCCCTCGGACCGTTCTTCGTGTCATACTTCAGGATCCTGTTTTCAAAGTAGCTTGCTACGATCTTAAGAAGGTATTCTGGTACATTCTTCTCTTGGAGGGCTTGATGATGCATTCCCAATTGGCGGAGTTGAAGGCGTTTTTGATGTCTAGAGTCGCCATCAAGCAATACTTCTTAGTTCCACCCTTCCATCTGGTTCCTGCGATTGCTTCCTTGGCTGTATCAACAACCAGTTTGATTGCGTCCAGGGTTGATCGGCCTTTCCGGAATCCATACTGATTGTCTGCCAGGAGTGGGTCGACTACTGCTTCAATTCTCTGGTGAATTATGCGCTCAAATATCTTACCCGCCGTATCTAGCATGCAAAGTGGTCGGTAAGATGACGGTTCTTCTGGTGGTTTCTTCCCTTTAGGTAACAGTACCAATCGTTGCTGTTTCCACTTACGAGGAAGTCCCCTCCTTAAGGCATGCATTATAAACGTCTAGGAATAATGTTGAAGCTGCCTTTATGATGGTTTTTAAGACTAAATTAGGGATTCCGTCCAATCCCGGCGCTTTATTATTCCCTACACGGTTACAGGCCTCCAGCAGTTCTTCTTCAGTGACAGATGGAATGTCGTCCAGTTCGCCTGGTGCCAGCTGGTAATCGAAGTTGCGTTGCTGTGGGAACAGTGCAGTGACGATTTTCTGAAGAAGTTGAGGACACGTAGGTGATGGCATTTGTTGTTTTTTCAGGTGGGTCATAACCACCTTATAAGTCCTACCTCATACGTCTTTATCCACCTCGTATATAAGCTCTTTCCAGCATCTTCTTTTGCTCTCTTTGATGGCTTTATTTAGTTCACGACGCGCTTTTTTGTACTCTGCGATCAGCTCCACTGAGTTGGGCCATTGATAGCCGCGCTGAGAGATTCTTCTTTTCTTATGAGTCATAAGTTATGACACTCTTTACGAAGGACGCTGATGTGGTCGTTCCACCAATGCACCGAAGATTTCGGATTTATGCCACGTTTACGAGGCATACTGGCATCACAAGCATGTATTACTCTCCTCATCAGGTCCTTAGTCTGTTCTTCTGCACATCCAGTGTTGATCGGATCACCATCGAGGGCTATTAGCAATGCTTCTGGGTCAAAAGATTTCACCTTCCAACCAACGATGTTAGACTGCTTGATTGGTCTCTTGAGGTTCTGGTCATTTGATATTTCCCAGAATATCGCATGATGGTCGCTGGCAGTGTAGATGTCCAACACTTTCCAGTTGTAGTCGCCTCTAGCAAGGCTATTACTGACAAAAGTGAGGTCTACAATTGAGCTTGCGTCACCTTTGGTGTAGGTCGGCGTATCACCACTGTTGAGCGAAACTACATCTAGTGTAGTAAAGGCCTCTAGTAGTGCTTTCCCTCGTGCGTTGGTATGTTTGCTACCCCAGTCAACTGCCCAGGAGTTGAAGTCTCTGGCTATCGCTACTGGATGGTATTGCTTCGCATCTTCGGTTAGTCGATCCAGGAAATCAGTGAAGTCAACAATGGAGAGGCTAAGTGGTGCGTAGCAGCTATAGAAGCGGATGCCTTCTTCTGATACTGCTACAAAGCCGGCATTGCAGTTATCGACTGCATTTTGGAAAGAGAGCTTGCCACATGACCAGATGACAGCTTTGGATGTGCTGTCAGATTCCCAGGGTTGAGTACTCAGGTGTTTATATGGCTCTGCTATCAGTACCAAGTCAAGATCTAACTCTCGCACGGATTGCATGAGTAGGTCATGCGCTGCCTCACAATGGTTGAGATTGGGCTGTAGTATCCTCATGCTTGTTTGTTCGTCAACTTCTGGAGCGCCTCCTGAAATACCGGGCATCTGTGGGTGCCGGCATGGTGAGCCATATCCTTTGCTCCTTGCTGCTCAGCACATATTGCACACTTGGCAGGATTTTTACAGTCAGCGATACGGTGCCCTTCTTGTCCACATCTGATGCAGAGTTTAGACCGGTCTACTTGGCTTTTACATTGGGGCCCAACATGTCCAAAGTGCCAGCATTTAAAGCATTGGACTGGCCTTCTAGTTGCTCTTATTCGGCAATTAACCCAGCCAATCGTTATTTTGCCGCTTCGTTCCAGTAGCTGTTGTGCTGCAGCTGCTGGTAGTGTCACTGTAGCCGTTTGCGTTGGTGCATTGGTGAACTTGCTGCCCCAGTCTACTGCCCAGGAATTGAAGTCACCTGCTACTGCTACGGGAAAGTGTTGCCTTGCATCTATGGTTAGACGATCAAGAAAATCGATGAATTGTTCCAAAAAAAGACTCGGCGGGGCATAGCAGCTGTAGAAACGAATTCCGTCTACCCATGCTGCTACAAATCCGGCTTCTTTGTTGTTGATTGCCTTCTGGAATGGTAATTTGTCACAGGACCAAATGACAGCTTTGTTGGTACTGTCCGATTCCCAGGGTTGGGTACTCAGATGTTTATATGGTTCTGCTATCAGTACTAAGTCTAGCTCTAGTTCGCGCACGATTTGTATGAGCAAATCATGCGCAGCCTCATAATGATTGAGGTTAAGCTGCAGTATCTTCATGCTCGTTTATTTGTTATTTTCTCGAGTTCCTCTTTGAATACCGGGCATCTGTATGTGCCAGCATGGTGGGCAGCGTCTTGCGCACTTTGATCGTCAGCGTATAATACACATTTGGCTGGGTTTTTACAATCAGCAATCTTGTGTCCTTCTCTTCCGCACCTTATCCAGTGCTTAGATCAGTCGATTTCACTTTTGCACTGTGATCCAAAGTGCCCAAAGTGCCAGCATTTGAAGCATTGTATCGGTCTCTTTGTTGCTCTCATTCGGCAGTTGACCCAGCCAATCCTTATTTCGCCGTTTCCTTCCAGTAGCTGTTGTGCTGCAGCTGCTAGTAGTATCACTGTAGCCGTTTGCGTACCTCTGTAGGCCTTACGGATCTTGATAGCCTCTAGTGGTATTTCGCGTTTCTCCGGTTTCCGTTTTCAGGGCAGTCTGAATGTGCTCCTTCGTCGTGTCATCATCAATGTCTCGGATCTCGATGGTCTCCTGCGGTCCTTTGCAGATTACTTCAGCCTCTTTTTGAAGGATATCCCTGATGGTCTTTTGCAAGGCTTGGCCTTTGTCGATACTCTTCTTTGAGAGCGTAATCAGCATGTCCCTAGTTTTGGTTTTGTGAATCTTTTCCACGGTTGTGCAGACCTGTTCGTCAGGGACGGCCTGCTTTATACGACGCAATATTTCGGCGTACTTCTCCTTCTCGACCGGACGGATGATCAGGGCCTCAGGCCTGATCCATTTTCGCGGTTTCTTCCGCTTAGGTTCCGGCCGGGGCTCTTTCGGCGGTTGCTTTGGGAGCTGCTCTTTCCTTTGCCTTTTCTGTTCTTTTTTAGACTCAACTCGTTGCCAAGATGACGCTTTCATCTGTTCGTCGCTTTGCAGTGCTGTTCTTTGCAGAGGGCTGTCCTTCAGGTCTTTCTTCTTTGTTGCTTGGCTGAATGTTGGGTCTGGAGAGGGTCTTTCTTTTCTCTTACCAGGCTTGCCGAAAATTTCACGCCTCTCTTCAGCGACTGATTCACCGTCACCTTCGGCTCCGGTGTCCATTGCTTCGTCAGTCACGACAACAGATTGACAGGTTTTCTCCGGTGTAGCACGGGAAATGCGCTGCAATGATGAGCGCCATTCTTCGTCCAGTTTCTTAAACCTTTGGAAGGCGTTAGTTACACTAGTCGTCTTGGACTTTATCTCCTTGTGAATGTTGACCTTTGATTAGTCGAAATCATGTAACTCACTGGTCAGCTTTTCAAGGCGTTCGAGCGCTTGCGACCGCTTCATTTCAGCGCTTGCGTCAATCGCTGCTTGTTGGGCATGAAGCCCGTTTCCACTCTTGTTTGTTTCCTGTGAATTACTCATACTTTTTGATTTACCAGCGCATCGTACGGAGTGGAGCGGGTTGTCATAACTAGGAACGGGTGTACTCCTGTTCCCTGAGGCCTAGCCGACACAGCCAGTCCCGGAATACACGGACGGACTAGACTCGCTCGGGGCGGTGAAGATTCCGATCTCTAACACTCACTGCGTACTTCCTGATCGAGGCCCGAAGTGGCTGTCTCCTGATCCACTGCTGCAACTTACACCTCGGCAGAGCAAGCTCACATCAGCCGTGGCCTGCATCGTCGGAAACTACGATACAGGTTCTGGACACTCCCAGTGAGTTACAGCAGGGAACAATCGTCTTGCTAGGTCAGTTAGTGTGACCAACCCATTAAAGGGGAGTTTTGTCCACGGTAGCGTATTTTATTTAACACCTACCCTCTGTACCTCGTCAACTAAGAGACCTAGTGTCATCCGACAGCGAGTGTCAATCCATCCGCTACGGGGAGACGCGCCTGGTAGCAGTTTCTCCTCTGCCGCAGGTGTGTGTGTGTGTGTGTGTGTGTGTGTGTGTGTGTGTGTGTGTGTGTGGATGTATGTAAACCTCTCATAACTTTTGAACGGCTCGACCGACTTCATCGCAGTTGGTGTCATTCGAAAAGGCTTGACCAAACTTAGATTTTGAATACAATTTGGACCGATTCAAACCGGTAGAATTTGAGAAATCTCAAAAAAACTACAAAAAAACATTTTTTTCAAAAGTGGTTTTTTTGGGATTACTTTTAAACGGCTTCACCGATCGATTTTGAAAACTAATCAGCTCTTAACATCAATAAACTACGTCGATCGCCGCCGACCCGGTAAAAATCGGTTGATTCGTTCGTGAGTTATCGTTGACGAAAGAAAACCGTAAAAAGTGTTTTTCCGGAATTACTCCAAAATTTTTCGTTCTATCAAATTGAACTTGAAGCTTCTTTATGAGGCTTAAAAAATTGCGTCGAATGCCGTCAACCACGTAGAAATCAGTTTATTCATTCAAAAGTTATAGCGGTTTGAAAATTTGAAAATTAGTGTTTTATTAAACTTCTATCAGACTTTTGAGCTCGAAGAGCTCAAAAACATAAAACAGCTATTTTTTTAAGCTTGGAGAGCTTAAAATAACACACAAATTGTATTTTTGAGCTCGAAGAGCTCAGAAACGTCATAAGTGCAATTTCAAGCGTTTAGGTATGGAATTGGCGGGAAGTTGCAGGGATGGCCTTCAGGGTCAACCATTTTCCTAATTTTTCGTAATATAATAATGCATTTTTATGAAAATAAAAATAAATTACTTATTAAAAACGAATTTATTCTCATAGTAAACATCATAACACACGATACTTATAAGAAAACATTTTTGTTTTTCATGAAAATTTTAAAACTAATAAATTTTATGATTTGACTATAAACAATGATTTTGATTTTATATTGTCTACTTCTTTTAGAGTAGAAGCTTTCGTTTAGGTGAAAAACTCGGTTAAAGAGTTATTGTTTTCAATTCAATTTCGAAAAATAAAATTTTCATCAAATCTGACTGCAAGTAAGGGGCCATTCATTAATTACGTAAGGACAATTCAGGTGAGTTTTGACCCCCCCCCCTCCCTATCTTCATGTAAGTATACGTAAGATTTCTCGAACCCTCCCTTCCCTTTCTTACGTACGATTCTATCTTGATCTTCTAAATAATAAAAATACGATAATACTCGGAAAAATGTATTATAATTTTTCTATAGAACCAAACATGGATAACAATCAAAACATATGAAATTTTAATAAGTTATTTTTTTTTTCAATAAGCAATAAAAATTATTTAAATGAAATAAAAATTCGATTGTATACTTTAAAATTAAGAAAAATATTTGGAATCCAAAAAGGAATTAGATTTTTAGTATTGAATTTTGATTCACGAAATATTACGCAAGAATGAATTACACCCCCCTCCCTCCCAACATAAGGACATGTAGAGATTTTCTTAACCCCCCCCCTCTCCCTCAATACCTTTACGTAATTAATGAATGGCCCCTAACGAACAGTTAATTTTTGGATTAAAGTACTTATTTATAAAAATTATACCTTCTCTACTGATGAATTCTGAATTTCATTTTGAAGGATTCCCAAACATATAATGCATATTTCGGACGTTTGATTAGATTCTGAGTCTCCAAAAATATTTTTTATCTGCAACAAATTTATTGAAAGAATATATTTATGTTATAAAACTAACTTATATTGAATACAGTTTCGCAAAAATATTGCAAATTATAAAATCATGTGATTTTATAATTAAAATATATCCTTTTTCCTGAAAAAAAAAAAATTAACTTGATTCAAGCGAAAAATTCTTGAACCAAGAATATTATTTTGAAGATTTTTGCTCTCGTAAATTGAAACAAAAAATGGTTGAATCTAGTAAATTTACTTAAATCAAGAAACAAATTATTGTTTTGGTTCAACAATTTTTCTCTTGAATCAAATTAATTTTTTTAGAATCAATTTTTTCACGGCCGTAATTTACTCATTATTTTAGTTAGATTCATGCCATATAAATCTGTCCATTTTTTATTTTTTTTTTTTCAGTGTCCTAGTTCCTAGAAATCATTTTATACAAAGAATTTATATTCGACTTAATTATTAATCGTTGACTTTTAGTCTAATCTTTTTACTGGATGAATAGACTTAATTAACTTTCACAAAAAATATGATTACATAAAAATCTATTGACGAATATAAGAACATAAGATTCTGGAGGAATTCAAGTTCATTTATCGTTTAATAGTACAAGCATAGTCGAATAATTATGTTAAATCTGAGTAGTAAGGATTTTGCTAACATTTTTAGGATCACTTAAGGAGGTTCGAGCGAATCTAATGATTGGAAAAATAATTTCCAACTTTGAGCTTTGAAATTAAGTATACGTATAAATAAATACGTCAATTATCTAATCCCAAAATTTTAAAAATATTCACCGTTTAGTTACTTAGATATTAAATTTCAAAAATCACATTTTTTATCTCCTTATACACGGGCTCTTATGGCGGACAAACTTTAGCCGAGACTTTAATTATTTTTTTACAATATTAACCCCCCAACTTTAACGAATAAAAAACTATACACACAAAACTTGGATTATTGTAAAATATAAAAAAAATTTAATAATAATACATTACCGATATAATTTTTGAAATAGATAAAGTTTAACTTTATGTTTTTGACTAGTTTATCGTCAGCTATTTATTCGAATAAATATTTGGCAACGTCGCGTCAACAGCTGAGAAAAAAGAAAAGGATAGAAATATAGTTACAGAGAGAGAAATATTTAACTCACACACTCATGTTTGAATTTAAAACTGCTAGCAGGCTGAGCAGTTTGAAATTATTGACTCTAGCAGGCTGAACAGTTTAATTAAAGGCTCTATTCAGTGTAGTCAGTTTGATAAAAGGTTCAATTCAGTGCAGCCAGCTTCAATTAAGGTTTAATTCAGCTTAAGCAGTTCAAAATAATGCTCAAACTTTTTGACTCGGGATATGCATGTCTCTGTAATGGGTATAATCAAACGCGCTGTTGCCGAATCTGTTTATTTAATTCGGCAAGTAATAAATACGAAAGTCATTTTATTACTTTATTTTATTAAATAACTAAGAATCATCAATTATTAAATTGTTGAAATTATTTTCAATTAAAATAAAGAATTTTGACGAATATTGGGAAGACTGAAAGTAAAAAAAAATTTAAACATTATTTTAGCTCATAAGTTTACGCTCGAACCTCCTTAACTTCCGAAATTAATTCATCCCATATTTTTGCCGTCAATTTTAAGTAGACAATAAATTATTCAAAAAACGTTATTTCTTTGATATAGAGATTTTTTAAAACAAAAAAACAAAAATAAACAAACAGGAATTTTTTATATTGAGACAAACTTAAAGTTCAACATAAAAATAACTTTACAGTAAAAAAATATGACGGAACAGCAAAAATTAAGAATAAAAGATTTATATGTAATCGCTATTTGAAATATACAGATTTTTTTTTATTTTCTATTTTTTGTACACTGTAAAAAAAACCGGTGTAAGTCCGGTGTTAAAATTACCGGTGTTAAATTTAACACCGAAATCGGTGTTATAATAACACCGATGTAACACCGTTAGCGGTGTAAATATTTTTTTTCGGTGTTAAAACGGTGTTATAAATTTTCTGGCGATATAAATTTATTTTAATTAACACAATATTTATAATCAAACCGTACATTTTTAATAATTGGAAATAAATAATAAAAAAAAAATAATAAAAGAGGAAGATATTGATGTTTAAAATTTTTTTACTAATATTCATTTACTACAAATGGAATGAATTGAACGAAAATGACAATATTTTAAAACTCGAAAAAGGAAAATTTGAGAAGCTCGAAAATTTATTTGACAATATTCCATATAATGAAGCAAACTCTGATGAAACTTTAACTCTGAGCAGTGTACACGGAAAAAAAATTGAAGGAATTTTTACTATTTCACTATCGTAATTTTTATTAAATAAAATAGCGGTGGACTATACTTCTTATTTTGTAATTTTTACAATCTACTATTGTAAATTTTATCCAACAAACAACACTAGCAAGAGACTTAAAAAGTCAAATATTGTAGAGCAAATTATACAATATGTGTTGGTGAACTTTACAATTCAACTATTGTAAAAATTCACAGTCGGTTTTTTTAATTAAAATAAATTTTAGGGAGAGAGAGAGATAGGAGGTTAGGCTAATTGATACCTATACAGTAACCGAAAAAAGAAACCGGAATTTCCGTCTTATCCGGGAATCGAACCCAGAACTCTTTGCTGGCAGCCAGAGACTCTCCCTCTACGTTATCCGAGGTAAACTAGTACCTGTGTCCTTAAACTCGGAGTCTAGTGCACGGACATCGCTCACACTAATTGAGAAACATTCCAATTCAACTATTGTAAAATTTGTTATAGTTCTATAGAAAGATACAGAGGCAGCACTGGAAATTTTAATTCTTACTTTTTACAATAGTAATATCGTATTATCTCTAATCGTAAATTGTAAAATTTCATGAATAAATAGTAAATTTTCTTCTAAAATATTTGAAAATTAATAGTAATAAAAGTATAGTCCAGCTTTACAATAGTTGTATCGTAAATTTTTTTCCGTGTAGTTTTATGAAGTATCAGAGTTTAAATTTCACTTTACCTACAAGAAAAATTATTTTATTCCTTTAGTATATCGATAACTTAACAGATTTACCAATTTTCGGTGAAATCAAAAATATTTTCGTTAATGATAATAATTTAATGTTTTACTGTAAATTATGGGAGACTGTTTGTTATGATGCGAGCTTATGTGCAAATGAAATAATTGAAAAAATGGAAGCTACCCTGGAGTCCAAATTACTACTTAAAACATTAAACATTAACAAGAATCTGAGCATATATCACAAATTGGAAAATCCAAAAGTGCATGCCTCACACGTTCATTCTATAGAAAAATACAGAAAACTATATTTTTTCTATTTTTTTCTACTTTCTACAGTTGTATCGACGGTCAATATCGAATATGATTTTCTACGTAATTCCTATTGCTACCGTCGCACTGCTTAAAAAATAGAAAAAAAAATAGTGTGAAATTTCATAAACTTTACCCTGATAGTCACCTTACCTATAACTTACTGTCAATCTACGTCCGCAATTTGAAGCAAACTTGACGGAAAAGAGTTGGCAAAGCAAGCGATTACCTATAAGTTACTCTGCAAATAGACGTCAAAACTTGCTGTCAAGTATTTCAGTCAAATTGTAGTAAAGTTGAAAGGAAATTTAACTACAAGTTTGATTGTTAACTTGTATCCAAGTTGTGGCCGTAGATTTCCGTCAATTTGCTACCTGTTGTTGAGTGAAGAATTACCGCTAATTTAAGTTAACCGTAACTGCTACAAGTCAAATACTTTCTGTGAAAGCGCTGGTTATCAGATTTCATTAACATTTTTTAAGCGATTAAGAGTTTGATAACGTCCGGCAATAGGGATCGTCATAAAGGTAAACGGAAACTTATGGAGAAAGATTTATTTCATTTCATGGTGTAAATTTTTCTAAAACGTGACGACAAGTAACACGAGGACTAACTGACGGTCGTACTAATAATTTTTCAACTACACTGAGAAAAAAGTATTTTGCTACTAAGGATATTTTTTTTGATAATCAGAATACTTGGTATTCTGCTACTAAGAATACGCGGTATTTTGATTATCACAATAAATATACTGATTATCACAATACTTTAGTATACTGATTATCAGTATACCAATATAACAGACTATTAGATGTTTATAACCTCACTTTACTGGCACAAATCAATTGACTTATAAAGCTAACAAAACAAATTAAAATTAAAATTAAAAGTGTAATAATAAATTCTTTTCAAGCTAATATAATAAATATTAGTTGAATTCTATTTTTACCAGTGCATAAATCAAATAAACTGACTGATAGTGTTGAAACGTCGATGGCAGTGACAGCGCATATATTATAGTTTACTGCGCAGAGTATAGATCTTGAACTGACTTATATTCTGATGATCAGAATACTTGGTATTTTGATTATCAAAATACCAAGTATTGTGATTATCAAAATACTTTTTTCTCAGTGAATGATTTTCACTCTGGAAGTATGAAAAATTCAAAAGAGCACTACTCATAATGCTCCTTCAATTTTTAATAAAAAGTACTATCGTATTATAGGTCGTGCAATAAATACTATCATAATAAAATATTTAAATAGCAATAACAAACTTCCTTGTGTGGATGGAACTTATATGAACGATGAATAACTTTCCGGCTCGTGCTCACCCGTCCGGTTTTGTTCAGCCAGACACTTAAAGCACCCAATAGACACTACATATTTAACAATAACATAATATGTATATCAGGCACACAAGCCACAATGATTGTATTAATGTACAAAATGCAGAATGGTGATTGTCTGGATGTGATGGTTTAATGTACTCAATGATGACGATGATGATGATGAGGAGGAGGTTCAATATGAGGATGAGAAGAATGATGACGACGTGTAAGTGTAGACACATGTGGGCAAGTCAGGAAACGAGGGCACTCGAGGATATCAAAGCTTCCAAGACCTCTTTTATTAATAGGATACAATCGAGATAGTTGTCACGCCACCATGATCACCGACATTGACTACACCCAGACGTTTTACTTTTATTTATTGTCGTTGGTATTTTTGATCGGGTACCATCTGATTGCTTGCTGGGGCCTTTGAGGAAATTAACAAGTGCTTGGTATTCTTTTAGGCTTGTCAACTTCTTCAGGTGAATTTTATAATTTTACGGTTTTACGATTGTAATTTATTAAATAATAAAGGGGTTTTCACCCCAATTTACTCTTGTATAGTCTTGGACAAGACAAAACAGAAGAAGTATTTGGCTGAGGATTCAGGTAGCTTAAATGGTAGAGAAATTGACGCGTAATCATTAGAATCTTGATTCGATTCCCACTCTGAGCGGAGAAAACCCCGCATTCTTCCGAAGTCATATTTTGTGAGTTTAATAATCATTATCATTGTATAATCGTTCTTAATACATAAATTTTGATTCAAGGGGTCATTCTGGTTAGTAACTTGAAAAAAAATTGTTTTTTTACATTTTTCGAAAGTACTTATATCCATACGTATTGTGCTAAAATTTCTAATTGATCGGACCACTGTAACTATATTATTTTGCAATTTTTTATGTGGATGTTCAAAAGAGAGTAAGTAATTTTTGGCCTAGACTGATGGAGAGGTATGCAAATTAACGTTTATTTAATAACCTTTCAGATGCAATTTACAAAAATTTACAAGTTATCGCATTCATTAGTTATTTCGCAAATAAACAGTAAAAGTGCCAATTTTCAAAGATTTTGAAGAATTCAAATTTCTGTCATTTCTAAACTATTCAATTTAAAAAAATACATAAGCATGCAAATTAAAGTTTACTTAATAAGCTTTCAGATGCAATTTACAGAAATTTAATATGATATCGCGTTTAATCGTTATTGTACGGAAATACAGTTTTTTTTTTTTTTTTTTTTTGATAAAATTTTATATTATTCGATTGTGTATCTAAAAACCACCGCATGAATTTTTTTGGCCCTATTTTCAGTTCAAGTGCAATTACATTTCTTGAGTGAGCTACAAGTCTTACCGTTATCAAAAAATTGAAAAAACTTTTCGATATCAATGTGGTTTTCCTTTAAAGTTCTCACAAATAACTGGAATGGTACAAAACTCCAGCAATCTTACCATAGAAATTAAGTTTAATGACCAATCGCGAAATTCGCGTGTTGAAATAAAAAATAAAAATTAATTTTTTGAAAAAATATTTTTTCTGTTGAAGGGCTACAACTACCTCATTTCAAAACAGTAACTGCTAAATTTAAGTTGTTTTTTTATTATTTCAGTATTCGTGCATTTTTACTATACTTTAAAGGCACTATTTGATTTGTTGCTTCAAAATTTTATTATGTGATAAATAAATCTAATTTTTATCGATTTGAAGTGAAAATTTTTCTTTAAGCGTCAATACCAACAAGGTAAATTTAAAAAAAAAAAAAAAAAAAACAAGAAATTTCAGTAACTATGGTTTGAAATGATGTTGACGCATTTAATAAAATCTAAAATTATGCAAACATATGTTTGAAGGTTTTACTGAAAGAAATTCCCAGAAAAATTTGCCTACGGATCAAATCGATGGATCTGTTAGAAATGGAATCATTTAAAAAAAAAAATTTTTTTTTCGTGTTCAAATCATTTCGTTCATTTGAGATACTTTTCTCTTCAATACCAATAAGATAATCTGAACTTAATGTCTTTTCATGTTTTTATCTCACTCATTTATATTAACCTGGAATCGTTAGGTTTAGCAAATTAAATTGGGTTTGTCATATGATATTGTCAAATATTTGAAGCTCTCGATATTGCACGTGATATAAAAAATCATATGGTCTTAAGTAGTATGTAATCAGATGTGTTTACTTTTCATTATTATCAAAGTGCCGTGTTTATAAATTGCTATATTATTGATTAAATGAATATACCTATAAATAACAAAAAAAAAAAAACAATTTTTACCGTATCAGAATTAGTTATGGCAGAATGAAAATTATCATTATTTGGAATGCCACTTAACCTTAAAGAACACACTGAACAGCATCCCAATGATCTTAAAAATTTTGCCTTTTGAATAATATTAGAAACTTCAAAACTCATTTTTTACCTTACAATTTTTTTAAATAAGCGTTATTTCAAAAATTTATAATTGTTTTTAAGTTTAACTACGAAAACTGATGTTTGTTAGCAACAAAAAAAATCCAAAAAATTTTATAGCGGGAGTAGCATAGCCAACAAAAATGATGTACATCGTTGTATAGCCCCCAAATTCAATGCCAAATTAGCTATAGTAACACGGAGGCTAGATAGAAGGAGGACGCTCGCTACTGAGTTTTCCGCAGTAGTGGGTCCAATAAACCGAGGATACATCATTTTCGTAAATATGCCGCTAGGGCGACGCTGCGTTCGCTAATGTCCGGCAAATGGCGTCTATTTGTTATTGTTTATTGGCATCACAATAAATAAGTTTTGAAAGTTTAATACTTGTAAAATAATTAAATGTTGTAATTATCATCAAAAAATGGTGAATCGTTGTGTAGTGAATGGTTGCACAAGTGGCAGTGTAAGTGATCGTAATAAACATAGCAAATTGGGTACGAAAAATCCATCATTATTTACTGTGCCACAGGTATAACCTAAGTTTTGTGATATACAATAAATTAATTATTAATTAAAATATTTTAACTACGTAACAAAATGATATAAATACAAGCAGATAATTATATTTTTTTATTAATTAGCTTAAGAAATTCTTAACTTGTTTTTTTTTTATTTCGAAAAATATATATAATACTGACGTTAGCCGTCAGCTGTTAATTAAAAAAATTTTTTTAATAAATTAATTACAATAAAAAAATGCTTCTAAAAATTTTCACTTGTAATTTTTATTAATTATTAATTTTCACATGTGGAACTTTTTAATTAAAATTTTATCATAATTTAATTACTATAAAATTCTAAAAAAATTTTTAATATCTGTCAACTTCAGTGTCATAAATATATCTGTTTAAAATACCACAAATTGAACAAGTGGATTTTTATGTTCATCAACAAATTAGGTTAAAATTAATTTCAATACTAATGTTGATTTTTTGTTTTTATAAAGCACCCTGATCTGTTGGAATTATGGGAGTCTGAACTGAATCAAAAATTGGTTCCCAAAAAAAATTATGTTTGTGAATTACACTTCAATGAAGAGGACATTATAAAAAGTGATAAGATAAAAACGGCCAATGGTATCATTGAAGAGTTAGTGAGGAAAAGATATGCACTCAAACAAGGTGCTATTCCAACTTTGAATCCTAAAAAATTAAGTGAGAGTAGAAATACTAAAGATGTTAATAGTCCGAATAGTCCGAGTACTGAACCGGTTGCGAGTGAACCTAATAATATCGTTTATATAAATGAAAATTGTTCGCATCAAGATAGTGAATTGCAAATTGATGAAGATTGTAACAACAACTATGATCGTCTTGAAAACTTTAATTCAAGAATAAGCTCTGAAGAGATTAATCACGAGAACCAAGAACCGGTAAGAGAAATAAAAATTTTGAATGTTTTATTCAACTCGTTACTGATGCACTTTGAGTACTACTAGTTGCATATTAGGGTGGGCCAAAAAAATCGAGTATTTTTTTTAACTTTATACTCTGAAAAATAGGTTTGTAAACACCTCAAAAAAATTCTCTTCAAGTATGAGCTCTTAATTTTCATAGGATAGTCCTCCGTCCTTCAGTTATTTATTTTTTTCTTATGATTACAGAGAAAATTTATACCTCGGTATTTACTATTTTGAAAAAAAAAGTCTCGTCTCATATATTTGTAGGAAATTGAATGTCCTACAAAAAAGGCCTCTTACAATTTTTTTGTTAACCTCACCGTTCAAAAGTTATTGAAGGTTAAAGTTTGATTATTTTGAGACAAATTCCTATTTTTTTATGAATTTTTTAACTCGTTAAAAAAAAATTATTATGATATGCGTACCTCCATTTTTTCCAATTTAGACCCTGTGATTTATTAAATTTCGAGTAAATAATGTTTTTGGGACGAATTGAATATAAAAAGCTTCGATCTAGAAGAAAAAAATATTTTCAATTTGTTTTTAAAAAGTTTTTTAACTTCCCGCTAAGAAAATCTTAGATTTTCGAAAATCAGGAAGTTATTGGTTTTACCCCGTTTTGCAAAAATCGAGCTTTTATCAGATCTCGACGTTTTAAGGTTACAGAAAGTTTCCCTGACTACCCACGCGATGTCGTCACTATGTCTATATGTGTGTGTGTGCGCGTGTGTGTGTGTGTGTACATAAATATATAAACTTTTGAACCAATTCTAATTTTCATCCTTATTTAAATAAGTAAAAGATAAAATGACAAAATTCCGTGTGAATTCCGACACAAGGGCCAATGCAATAGATAGATTTCTACGAAATCTACCTAAAAACTTTTTGAAAACAAATTGAAAATATTTTTTCAAAATAAATTAGAAAAAATGCAATAATTTTTTGTTCCACTGTACCCAAACATGCTTAGGACTGAAAAAAAAACTGGAAATAAAGTTTAAAACATTTCTTCGTTCATAGAAACTTAAATTTGCACGAATTTTCTCAAAACTCATAAATTAAATTGAAATTGTTCGAATTATTAATCAAAAACTATTAAAATTAGTGTGCATTGAAGTTTGACGATGAATATCTTTAAAACGGTTAATTTAAGCAACTAATCATAGTTGACCATTTTTGTAGAGCAGTAAATTTCTTGTGAAACGGCGAGGTGCGCATATCATAATAATTTTTTTTAACGAGTTACAAACTTTATAAGAAAAAAGGAATTTGTCTGAAGATAATCAAACTTTAACCTTCAATAAATTTTGAACGGTTTGGTTGACAAAAAAATTGTAAGAGGCCTTTTTTGTAGGACATTCAATTTGCTACAAATACATGAGACGAGACTTTTTTTTCAAAATAGTAAATACCGAGACATAAATTTTCTCTGTAATCATAAGAAAAAGATAAATAACTGAAGGACAAAGGACTTTCCTATTAAAATTAAGAGCTCATACTTGGAGAGAATTTTTCTGAGTTGTCTACCAACCTATTTTTCAGAGTATAAAGTTAAAAAAAAAATAGTAGATTTTTTTGGCCTTCCCTATAGCATATATCAATTTTTTATTTTATAACTACTATAAATTTATCAAAACAGATTTGGTAATTTTAAAATGATATTACTTCAATTACAGGTATATGAATTACCTATTTCGGAAGTAAATATTGAAGAGTTTTCACTTCAAACAATTGTAAATGCATTAAAATTTAATGCTTTACCTGAAAATTGGAGCTGGACAACCGATTTGCTAGACTCTAAGAAACTTGTCTTGTGTTATATAGACAAAGTTTCTATGAAATTGAAGTTTCGCGTTAAAATTAATCAAAACTTTAAAGTCTGGGTAAGAAATTTCCGTATATGTATTTTTTCTAATAATCTATTTATAAAATGTTTTCTTAGCTGAGCAATATTAAAACTGATAAGTTGATTGACTTGAACAAAAGTTTTTCAAATATATCCGATTTCTGGAATTTTTTAAGAGAATCGGTGAAATATACGTTATGTGACGGAACTGGATTTGATACAGAAAAGTAAGAGTTATGACTTTAGTTATTTTATTGTTAGGGAATTTATTTTAAATTTCGGTTTTTTTGTTATAAAATTATAGATGTTCTTCGGATTGCACTGGTGTGCCATTATCTCATGAAGAGTACAAAAAGCAAATGAATGGTTTTCGTTGTGTAGCTTGTCGAAAAGTAAGAAATAAATTACAGAATCAATCTTATAAAACCAAGTCTGATTACAAAGAGCGTTATGATAATTTGAAGTACCAGGAGAGTCTTAAAAATAAACAAATTGAACGTCTCCAACGCAAGGTAAGTAATAATTTTTTGTTCAATTATTGTATCAGGAATCCATAAACCGAGGTCATCAACATACTTACTAATTATCTCCAGGTGCTGTAGTACGGCTTTTAATTGTTATACCTTATAATCATTTAATGTTTTTAGAAATAGGTGATTTTAAAATCTGAAAACATCAAACGTAAAATTTAATTTGCAAGGTATTCATGATTATATGAAAATAATTTGTGAAAGTAAAATATTAACATCGTCTCAATAACATTTTTCAAACTTAAAAATCTATCTATTGTATGTAGTGATATTTGAGAAGATCTAAGATAAAACAATAAAAATTCAAAAAATGTTTATTATTTCGTGATCAACTCTCGGTATATTAATACGTAACTCAGTTAATCTCTAAAGTTTCTTAATTTTTACAGAATAAGTTGCTCAAAAAAATAATTGATACACAAAAAGCCAATTGCTTAGCTATCAAAGATGATGCTTTAAGAGCTGAAATTTCAATTTTACCTCCTATACAACAACTTGCAATACGTGTTTGTTTCAACGCTGCAAAAGTATCTAATCCGAAGCAGAGAAGATATACGGTACAGTGGGTGTATGAATGTCTTTTACTTCGCATTAAAAGTGCATCTGTGTATGATAGATTAAGAGAACGAGAAATTTTAACGCTTCCGTGTAAAGACACTCTTAACAGATATATACAGAAATTGAACAGTGCTTTTGGCTTTCCTAAAGCTGTGTTTGACACTCTACGTATAAAAAGTGGAAGTATGGAAGTACATGCGAAACGGGGTATTGACTTACAATTAAAGTTGTACTTCTACTGCAAATCTTCGATATAACATTTTCAGTAGTGTATCAAGCTTACAACTCGCCTAACAAAACCTATACGCTTTGTAGAACTTTTCCTAATATCTTCGCTTAGATTTATAGTTAGACTATGCTTATATGAACTAAGGCATGTGCTTCTAATATTCTAGAATAACTTTCTGTCAAGCTTTATTAACAGTAGTTATTATTATTATAACATGTCAACTTTTGAATCTAAATAGACTAAATATTATAAATTGATTTTTAATAGGTACACTTCTAATCGACGAAGTAGCTTTAAGCGAAGCCATCAAGTTAAATCGAAAAACCATGCAGCTAGATGGCTTTGTCAATTTAGGAGCACATACACCACAAAATCTTCAGGACACGCGGGCTGATCATGCCCTAGTGTTCATGTTCCAGCCTTTCCAAGGTGATTGGGTGCAAGTTGTTGGCAGTTTCCTCAGTAGGAATTCCGTAACTAGTGCTATTCTACACAAATTACTCATAGAATTTATAATACTATTGGAAAATGCTGGGTTGTTTGTGGATGTTATTACCTCAGATGGTGCACAGTGGAATCGAGGAGCGTGGACACTTTTTGGTATCAAAGATGGTCAATGTAGCTGTGAACATCCATGCAACTCTGATCGAAGACTATACTTTGTTTCAGACTTTCCACATTTAATTAAATGTTTTAGGAACAAAATTTTGGAGAAATTGTTTTTTTGGGTACGCTATTATTTTTAGTAGATGATTAATTTTAAAAACAATTATGTATTTATCAATAACATAATCAGCTTTCTTGATGCTTGGTGTTATTGTTCTTTTCATGTAGACACCGGATGGTTTTGTAAAGAAAAGTCACTGGGAAACTCTGTTAATTCATGAAAATTATCTCAAAGCCAATTTGAAAATAGCTTATAAACTAACTCCACAACATTTGAATCCAGAAGGTTATCAAAAAATGAACGTTCCTTTGGCCTATCAGGTAATAATGAAAATATAAACACTTTTTTTTATTGTTTCTATAGTAATGTTGATAGTTATTCTCTAAAATTGTTAGGATTATTAATGATTTCTTTTGCTTTCAGTTATTTTCCAAAGACATTCAAGTTGCCATGAAAGTATATAAAAATAAAACAGAAGAGCTGAGAGACTGTGACTGTACGATTGCTTTCATCGAAAAAGTGAATAATTTAATTCAAGCGATGAGTTCACGTACGCCTTCAGGTGCTTTGCGTTCAGATCCGGAGTGTCCTCGAAGAAGGGTAATATTCAATATATTATTAAAATTTTTAATAATTTTTTGCAGTTTTTTCGCAATAATATAGCGAAAATTGCAATTTTTAAATGGAGACTCATTATCAACATTAAAAATTCAATATTTGTGTACTTAAATATTGGAATGAAAACTGAAACAATACATCAAGTTTGTGTAAGTAGAAAAAGTTAAATAGTTCAAAAACACTTCAAACTAATTGTGATATTTCTCCTATTAATGTTCACTTCATAATTGGGCTCGAAAATTTATTTCTTCACTTACAATTATAAAACAATACTCAGTGCGATGGGCGAATCGAACTAACTTAAATTTACTCATTTAAAAACTCTTGGGACTTACTTTAACTAAGACCTACGTTTACCATTTATCCTGATTTCCACTAAATTTGAATACTTTTATTATAACTATAACTAAAATACTCTCTGTTCTTCGTTTTTTATAACTGTTACCACAAAAAGATTTACAAATAAAATAATAAAAATATTTATTTTTGCTAGGCAATAACTGACTTTTTAAGTTATTTAAAAATTTGGGAAGCTAAAGCAAATGAGGAGAAAGAACTTAATAAAAAGAATAAGAAGAAGAAGAAGAAGAAACAAAAAGAGAATAATGAAAGTGACGAAAATGAAAAATTTTTCTTTGCCATTACTCCCAGTACACTAAATGGATTAAAAATTACGTTGCAATCGACTCTTGAGTTGAGTGACTTTCTGCAAAGAGAGTGCAACTTTGATTATTTAATGACGTCACGCCTAAACCAGGACCAATTAGAAGTATGTATTGAAGCAAAGATAAAAATAATTTACTATTTTGTGAATATTTTAATATTTCAACTTTTAATCTTTTTCAGAAATTCTTTGGCATAATGCGAAGTGTTTGTCGGTGCAATGACCACCCTGATACCATTCTTTTCGGGCAAGTTTTTCGTCTATTATGTTCCTACTCATTGGTCACCCCACCGAAAGGGTCCAACGTTACTGCTGGCGAGCTTCTTCAATCTTTTATGCAGACAAAAGAATCTTTTGCTGCTGCAAATACGTTGAAAAAAAATTGGCTTGCAGATATTGATGCTGTTATTGAAAATGGGATTGTTAACAACGAAGCTTCATTTCCCGGAGATATCAATGGTAATACTGCCCTTCAAAAGGTTTCTGTTGCTAAAACACCTTTCGAGAGTGTGCTTGACGAAGATAGTGATGAAGAAGCTGTGGACAATGGTTGTTCTTTTGTTAGAAAACCATTTGAAAGTATTTTAGATGAAGACAGTGATTGTGATGTTGATGAAAATGAACATTCACATCAGGATTATTACGACCCGTTTAATGATTTATTGGACATGGAAAATTCTAATGGTAACTCTTTAGATGAGTGCCAAGAGAACACTGATCGTAGTCAAGATGAAGAAGAAGAAGATCCCGATTTTCGTGATGATCCACATTATCATCATGATTATGATGTTGTTTCTACAAGTGATGGTGTAGTAGCTTACATCGCTGGATATATGGCGCGAAAAGTTCAACGATTATCCCCATGTTGTGACTGCATCGAAACCTTACGCTCTGATAATCCTTCTCAACGTGCCGAAGTCATAGAATTAATGAGCAATGGTGAATTGACATTTCCTAGTGATAATCTTTTTAAATTAATAAGAAAACTCGAGAAAATTGTTCTAACTGTTGTCGGTACTAAAACAGTGAATATAAATACCATGCATAAAGTTTTAGAGAGAGTAGCTAGAGCTAAGTATTTACCTATTTTAGGCTGTGATACTCATAAAAAAAAAACTTATGGCTAAGATTTTAAATAATTTTATAGTGATGCGCGGAAATTTTCTAGTTAATCTAATTAATCGGACTCTAAATGAACGAAAAAACATGACAAAAAAACATCGCAAAAATTCCAAATTGTCTTAAATAATAATAATAATAATCTTTATTATAGATAACAACTATAACTATAATTTTTTTACTCGATTTATGTCTTAAAGGAATAAGTGTTTACTGTTTCTAGTCTTGTAAAATTCCAATTATAAAACTAATAAATTATTTCTCAATATAAATTGAATTATTTTTCTTTTCAATATTCTACTTTTCCTTAACTATGGCCGAATAAGATGAGATGCAATATTTTATTTATAATTTTAGTATTATTATTGACCTATTTTTATTCATTGTTGATTATTTATTAATAAATATTTATTTATCATCACCATGAGTCTACCAGGCATTAATTAAATTTTTTGTAATTAAAGAGAAAGGTAAATAATTAAAAATAATAAATCATAAAAAAATACACTGATAGTTTTTTAGATTTTCTAAATGTGCATTTTTTTAAATTTATTTTCAATTATTCATGTATTTTCTTTAATCACAAAAAATTAATTAATACCTGCTAGATTCAAAATCATTATTTATTACGATAGTTTATTGTAGTACACTTGATGCGTTCTTTTGTTAATTTAAAATTCTTTTATCGATTAACATATAAATGCAATCACTACATTCCGCGGGTGAAAATTCAAAAAACCTGACATTAGCAACACTGATGCGCTCTAGTGAGAGAATGCGGAAAATGATGTATCCTCCAACTCTCGGGCGCTTGCAACACATGGCGAGCGTCCTCCTTCTATCTAGCCTCCGTGAAAAACATCCTTACTTACGTTCATACGCGCATTGTTACTGACACACTAACGCTTGCGTACACTAGTGTACAGTCTCACACATTAATCTAGCATCACGTACGTCCGCCGTCTACGGTCGGTCCGTCCCCACTCTCGGTCTACTGCATGCGAAGCCGGCAGCATCTCTAGCGTCTCACTCTCGCATTATCCACTGCCTTTTCACTCAATTTTTATTCTTCTCTAGCGCGCTTCTGATTGGTCACTTTCATTAATTAATAATTAATTATCTATGCGTCTGATTAAAAAATGGCTGAGGACTTTTCGTCTCAGAATAATTTCCTCTTTCGATCCCTACAAGGAAGTGCGTGACTTCTGGGACACCCTGTATATATATATTACGGTGCTTTTTTTGTGACTATTTTTTTTTTCGCTCCCATCCCGAAATTTTGTTGGAAATACACCCAAAAAAATTCCCTGAAAGTTTGAGCCCTTAATATTAATATTAAGTACTCCTACACAGCGTGTAAAGATTTCCCATCTGAAATATATGAGAACTTTCATTTTTAACTTCCCGCTAAGAAAATTGAAAATTTTCAAAAATCAGGAAGTTATTGGTTTTACCCCGTTTTTCGAAAATCGAGTTCTCATCAGATCTTGACGTTTTGAGGCCCTAGGAAGCTTCCCTGGCTATTTTCACGATGATGTCCGTACGTCTGTATGTATGTATGTGTGTGTGTGTGTGTGTGTGTGTGTGTGTGCACTGATAGAAATTTTAACTTGACTCAATTTTTATGATCCACTTGACTTGGCGGTTCACTTGTAAATGATGATATTATAAAGAAAACTTTAATAAATAATCTGAGCCTCGCGCAATTCCTCAATAATTGATATTATTTCGTTAGAGTGACTAGAATTACCGGTTGCTTGAGATGCCATAAGTAATCGTAATCTGTCAACAAGCTCATTAGGATCATCCCAGTAAACATAATCAATATTTTTCCGTTTTCTTGAAGCAGTCATAAAGTTAGGTAACTTTATGACCCTCTATTGACGACTGAGTTAGCTTGGATATATATTTACTATATTTGATGGTCTTTTCAGTGTAAAGACTTCGATTCGGCTCGTAATGCTTTCTATGTGTATTGGTTGAAATCACAAGATCTTTATAAACATCCAAATCATTTGAATTTATTAATTTCTCTTTAGGTTCACTCTTGAATAATAACTCAATCAGTCCTGGAGTTAATGAAATAGTTTTGTTTTTTACGATCAAAGTATTATTTTCATGAAACTGCACTGGTGAATCACCCATAAAAAGCTGTGAGCCTCTTCGTCGAATCCCAAATCTAGTGTCTTGTCCTTTAGGATTTTTGTTTCTAGTCAACGCTGATACATATTGTGATACTGAATCTCGCTCTTTTATGGGTGTACTAGTCATTTCTGGAGACAATGGGTGCATAATAGTTTTATTTATTATGCTTGATTGATCTAAATCAGAATGTTCAGTTGATAATTGAGGGGTATCATCATAGAACGTTTGATATTCACTTATTTCAGGTTTTTTCAGAGAATAATTTTGTGAGTCCTCTTTTACCTCCTGTTTAATTTCATATTTTATAGCTTTAGAGTTTTCAACTAAAGCTTGTAATGGTGTTACGATTGGTTTAAATGCTTCATTTGCTGCTTGTTCAGAAGAATCCCTCCCAATTTTCAATATTTTACATTTTCGTCTGATTGCATCACTAACTTTAGATATTTGATTCAGCATCTCAGTCTGTTGGGGAATATTTTTATATGCCATGTTTTCACACTTGAAAGCACTATACAACTGTCCAATTTCATATATAACGATCTAATTTATACTTATGAAGCAGTCAAAACCTTTTCTATAACGACCATTATTTAGTTCACTATCTTTATCAACCACCACAAATCCATGCTTATCATCACTGTTTTTATCATTCCAACATGCTGAACACAAGCTTCTGAATTCATTATAAGGCATATCAGTATTCACATGATCATCATAAATATGTTTTAAGTTCATTTCATCTTGACGAAAAAGTTCTAAAAAGTTGGTATTATCTCTAATTAAATGTTTTGGAATTTTCGAATAGGTTTGTGATAGATAGAAACTGTCGATATTTTTATGTCGCCCCATACAAAAATAAGCTCTGATATGATCCTGTTTCTCACAAGCTACATCATCGAATATCATGAGTGAGTTTGATTGAGCCTCATCAGGATTGATAACTGATTCATGATCACTGAATGGATGATAACCTACCCCCTCCACAGGTTTTAATATAGATTCCAAAAACTTATACTTTGGTTGGTTTAAAGATTTAGAATAAACATAAATGTTCTCGAATCTCAAACCATTAGGATGAGTGACTAGAGCTAAAAGAGCGTTAGTCTTTCCGCAATTTGATGGTCCACAGATAATTGCTCTGACAGTATTTGGTAAGAGTGCTCCATGTCGCTTTGGAACTTTTTTTTCATCACCTTGTACAATCGCATCAAAATTTATAACAGGTAATTTAGCACTTTGTTTTTCAAACTTCATCTTGATTTTTTATAGATACTAATTAATGCTACCAAGACAACATTTAAATCATAACTCATCAATTTGACTATAAATATCCCGTATTTATACAATTTGAGTCAGTGATTGATTAAGCATGGTGAAGAACAGAGGTACTGCTAAAGCTAAAATTAAGCGTGGTGGGGGTATTGTTAATGGTATTATCAATAAACTACCAATAGAATTACATGTACCAGGATATCAATATTGTGGACCTGGCACAAAATTATCAAAGAGACTAGCTCGAGGAGATCCTGGAATAAACCCGCTAGATAAAGCGTGTAAAGAGCATGATATTGCTTATTCAAAAAGTAGGGGTAATATGCAGGCGCGTCATGAAGCTGATAAGAAGCTGGCAGAACAGGCTGCACTACGTCTTCACGCAAAAGATGCTAGTATTGGTCGCATAGCGCTAAGTCCATGATTAGAGTTCCACTTAAAATCGTCGTTTAAAGCTCATTTTTATTTTAATTGATTACTTATTCGACAATCTTATTAAAATATAATTGTTTAAAAAGGAAAATAGAGAAACGAATTATTTAAATTAATATTTCCCGTTATTAATATAAATTGAACATATCTGATTATATTGTCGCTTAATAAAAATAATTTTAAATTTTAAAATGAAATTAAAGTTTTGTTACATATGGCGCCATCTATCCAGATTAACTTTTTTTTGTCAAGGTATAAGAAATCTATGCGATAGGAATTGTAAATTATCAGAATTATAGGCAATCGGATTTCAGTGTAATCGGAATTATATCCAATCAAATTTCTAGGCAATCGGATTCTAAGTAATCGGGATTCTAGGTAATCGGTAATCTACCCCATAGGAATTCTACGTCATTGATAATTTGGGTAATCGGATTCTGGGTTATGGAAATCTAGGTAATCGGAATCTAAGTCACCGGTAATCTAATCTAACTCATTGGTTTGTAGGTAATCGACCTCTTCCCAAATTTTATCCGAGATAAAAGTACCGCCAATAAAATAAAAAAAAAAAATAAATAATTAAGCGACGTGATATTGCTCTCAATTAGTTCTCCATGAATTTGGTCGTTTATTTAAATAAAAATAAATAAATGTATCATAAAAATAATAATAACCTCTTATTGTGTCATTTAAATTATTTTAAATTAATTAACACAATTATAAATTAATAATAGATATGTCAAACGCAAGATATGAGCTCAAAGGGAAGGACTCAAAAGCATATAGAACAGCTACCTCTTTGAGCTCATAAAGCTCAAAATAACACATAAATTGTAAATTTGGAGCTTGAAGAGCTCAACAACATTACAAGTGCAATTTCAAGCGCTTAGATATGGAATTAGCGGGAAGTTCCAGGGATCTCCTTCAGGATCATCCGTTTTCCTAATTTTTATTTTATTTATTTACAATCAGGAAGTTGTCACAGTTGAAGGTGAATATTTCTGTGACATGTGGCTAATGTTTATTTACTTTAATTCAAAATAAGTGACTGAATTCAAGGAGAATTACTCGTAAGCAATATCACTGTGCTGAATGATTTATTTTTTTTTATCATAATGGCAGTACTTTTATCTCGGATTGAAAAACTGGGCCTAAATATTTCATTGCACTAACATTCGTATCCTATTAATTAGATTAAACTTATTACTATTTCTATCAATCTATAATCAAGCTTTCTTCTAAAACTATGAAATAGTTTAATTGTTTATATAAAAGAAAAATATTATTTAATAGTATAATTTCATAAAATCTCATGCATTTCATAAAATCTTCATTTCGTAAAATTTCATAAAATCGCATTCTTTTAACAATAACTATTAATTAATTAATTATGAATTGGATCCAAGATATGAACTGTTATTAGTTTCAATTTATTTCGTTACAATATTATGTAAAATTTTACATTGCTTAAGCAAGAAATTTAACAAAAATGCGTTATTTAACAATCTTGTTTTTAGTTGATACATACATATTGGTTACGTTATTATTTAGTCGTTAAAATAAGAGATCATAGAATTTCCTCACACTCGTCTTTTATGACTTTTCCTCAAAGGGTCTCAAGTACCTAAGGTTTCTCGGAACTCGACAATAATGTCCCTTTGTACTCGATCATAAACTATATTTATTTGAAACAAAATATATGTACTTTATATAATACATAAATATTCTACAATATAAAACTTATATTCTCTAATTTGGACAGTTTTCACTATTTAAATTATAAATTAATAAAATAATCTAGATTATATTTAAATTCGCGCTTCGTTGGCCGGTAGTGTCACCTTTTGGATGCATCTAGAGGCATCACAACAGCAACATTAATAAATGCTGAAAATCAGGTTTAAAGTTTAAAGGTGTTAAAAGAATCAGAAGATGGAAGTTTGGATACACATATGTACCTATAGTTTATCGAAATATCAAACTGTACAGTTGAATTTTGTTTTGTGTTTTGTGAGCTGTTCTGTGGATCCAAGAAAAAAAATAATAATTATGGTTGTTTTGATTTGAGTCGAAGAAAATATTATCAACTTCTTGTACAAGTATATTTTTAATGATATGGAGTTTGACGATGATTTTTTGTTTGAACAAGATAAAATGTTAGTAAAATCGATTATTTAAACGACTCAAAAGAGTTTCCTCAAAAGTTTTTAAAATTCAAGCGATCAATTATTTTCTACTTTTTTTTAATATTCATCAAAAAAGTCAAAATTTTATTTTTGTGATGTTTTAACAATTTGTTAATGTTAAAATAAAGACTAATTTGTCACGCTTTGTTATTACGATTGTATGAATTTTACAAAATACGTCTACGGCCAATACACAGTCTCGATCTGACAACTGATTTAAATTATATCTTATCTTTAAATAACAGACAATTCATAAGAAAATTATTAACAAAAAATGACTGAAGATAGATAATTCGGTTGAGAATATTTCTATGATCTGATTATTAAACTACGTTATTATTTTCTTAGCTATTTTATTTTCTATAGAAATAGATATTTTTAATTTTTACTAATAGAAAAAACGTCCGAATTTCGTAACTCTTAGGGGAAGAAATAACTCCCGATAGCAACGTTGAACAAGTCTAGGGCGAGTTTCTGTTGAACAAGAGAAATATTGTATTGATATATACTTTTTAGGTAAAGATTGTTTTAAAAAACTGATGAAATTATTTTGCATTCGGGCAATTGTAGTCACCATAATTCTGGCAATAAAAATAACATTCACCTTTGAATCTCACATCATTCAAACGAGTATAGCAGCTTAACGCTCAATAAAATATTCAAATCAAACGATCTAATTTTTCTTGAATTTTAATACTCTAGCAATGAGAAAGAAAATTTGTGTCCTGGAAAAATTTTTGTTCTGTTTATGTCGAGAAAAAGTAAGCTTTTATTGTCGGTCTGTCTAGTGATCCGATAATTTGGACTAATATGTATTAATTGTTCGTCCGAGAATTTAAAGAAAGAAAAATAGAATTGTAGAGTATGAGAGGTATGGATAAGTTAATAATAACCCTAGTTTTTATAGGTGGATAAAAACTACATAATTATATGTACCTGAAGTTCCGAACGTTCATTTATGAACGAAAATCAAAAAAAAATTTTTTTTGCTCCTGAAACTGAAAATGGTTTTTCAGTTTCGAATAGAGACAGTGAGCCCTAAAAATGATATATTAGCTCCTCAAAACACAAAAACCACCCCTCCAGCCACCCCAAAAACTTACACTTGGAAAAAAAAATTTAAGATAAAATCCTTCCAAGGGCCCTTTGAAGCTGGCGATTTTTTATAAGACTCATACAATACCCCCACACAATATAAAAAACTTTGGGGTGGCTGGAGGGGTAGTTCAGGGGCAGCTAATGCCTTGGTGATTTTTTAAATTATGTAGAGGTATTGTATGAGTCCTACAAAAAATCGCCAGCTTCAAAGGGCCATTGTAACGATTTTTTCTGAATTTTTATATAATAAGAGTAAAACTTTGGGGTGGCTGAAGGGGAAGTTCCGGGGCAGCTAATGGCTTGGGGATTTTTTATATTGTGTGGGGGTATTGGGGGAG